GGTTTTTATAGTAGCCTTATAGACCAAAAGAAGTGGAGATTGCTCCACCCCACCATGGGCAGAAAAGGAAATAACATAGGAAATGGAAGTGAGGTACAGTTAGAGCCCATTGGTTACACCTGTTATTGGTCTTACTTGAGCATGACTTGAACAGCAGGTTGCTTGTGACAGACTGGCACGTAGCTCTTTGATACAAGTATATGTTATACTGTTTGTATATCACACATCAAGTTCACTATACCAAGAAACTTCACACTTGAGCTCGGCAATTGAAGTTGCATATATTGCCATGGGAGGTGGTAATACACACCTTTAATCCTAGCACTCAGGAGGCAGAAGCAGGCAGATCTCTAAGTTCAAGGCCAGTCTGGTCTACAGAGTGAGTTCCAGAACACAGAGAAACCTTGTCTGAAAAAAAGAAAAGAAAAGGAAAAGAAAGAAAGAAAGAAGGAAGGAAGGAAGGAAGGAAGGAAGGAAGGAAGGAAGGAAAGAAAGAAAGAAAGAAAGAAAGAAAGAAAGAAAGAAAGAAAGAAAGAAAGAAAGAAAGAAAGAAAGAAATTATATGTATTACCAAATATGCTTCTCCAAATCTAGAAACAGTTTCAGATGAATATTTGTCACACTATCTGCATTTGAAAAGCAACAGTACACATTCGTGAGACTTTCACTTGGCCTATAGACAGCACTGGTGTATGGTGAGCATGCAGTTTCTTACAGACCTGAGGTGGACAGCCATGGTTAGAAAGGACACAGTTTATAGAGAAAGAGCAGTAGAATTTTGCTTATACCAATGGTGGACCCAGAAAGTACAATTTTTTTTTAAACCAAGGAATTCTTTAAGCTCTTAAAATTCTTTAGCAAGAGACAAACAGAGCAACAGGAGTAGAGTGATGGAATGTCTTTGAGGGGTAAACCATGGGGCAGGTGGCGGAGCAGACCAGGGTGAAGTGAACCACGATCCAGGACTCTTGTTCTGGTGCCAGACTTGGCAAAAGGTGCTCAAGCTGGCACCCTTTGGTCCTTTTACAGGATGACAGTGATACTGAAGGACTCCAACCCAGAGATAAGAAGAAGGGCAGGTGAGCAGGAGAGGAGTGACTCAAGTGAACCTGTCCTGTGCCAGCCACAGCCACAGCAGTGTTTCCTCCTTATACCTCGATAGCAATGAGAACTCTCAGACTGGAAACCAGTGATCAAGCAAGGCAGTGAACAGCACCCCTGGTTTTTAATCTCATCAGGGTTCTAGCTGCTTAAGTTAAGGGTTTGTCGCTACGCAGACAGAGGCAACTATTAGGTATAGGAAATTAAAAGGTACAGCAGAAGCAAACTAAAATTAGCGAGTCTGGCCTGTGTTTTCCACCACTTCATCACCCACTCTATGACCTTGCTAGGAGAGCCCTGACTGCAAACCATTGCCTAACTCAGTTTTTAACCAATGTTTAATCATAAACTAGCCCTGCTACATTATTAATATTACAAACAACATTTCCACTTAGATAATCCATCTGATATCATTCTGTCGCGTTATCTTAAAGGGCACTGGTCCTACATTTGTTTTTGCTGCAAAATTAATCCCCGAGTGGACAGACCTGTTTAAGTATACTCATTTTTTTCTTAAGAATCTAAATATAATTTAAAATGAAGCAAAAGAGAAATCAATAACAAAACAATAGCCCTCACATCTCACTTGCTCCATAACTGGCCCCAAAATGAATTTTAATAATTTCAATCTTGGTTGTAAGAATAACACAGTATGCATTTGTACTCCCAGATAGAAAATGGAAACAGAAAGTCCATACTAACATGGCATCCAGTTGTCATTTAAAGTTTTACAAAGTGATTGGACTCTCTCGGCCCTGAAACAGTCAAAACTGCAGCTGACAGGGTGGGCAGCTCAGTGAAACAGTGAGGTAGCTAGGCTCAGTGCCCAGCACCAGCATGGCAGAAAGTACAGGTACATATAAAACTTTAGGTGAAGATAAAGACAGCAGGCTATACTCTATACATTATTACACCTTATAGCACATGCACACACATGCATACATGAGATGTATGAATCAGAACTTTATGCAGAGAAAACCAACAGAAAGAACAAAATACAGCAAGAATATTAACAACAGGAACTTTATGCCAGTATCCCACTCATGTTCCAAAATGATTTAGAAATACTTTATCTTCAAACTAAGGTTTCTTAAAAGCAGCAGGCTGTAGCAATGAGAGTCAGACCTTGTGTGTCTTTGGGCAAAAGACTATTTTAAACACATGCTTTAATTGTAAAGAAAACACTAACAAGAGAACCAACCAGCATCACTTCAAATGCCCAGCACACTCCTAAAGAATAGACATTTTAAGTAGCGGCAGGGTGGTGATGGTGCACACCTTTGATCCTAGCACTCGGGAGGCAGAGGAAGGGATCTCTGTGAGTTTGAGGCCAGCCTGGTCTACAAAGCAAATTCCAGGACAGCCAGGGCTACACAGAGAAACCCTGTCTCAGAAAACAAACAAAGAAAAGAAAATTTTTAACGTAGGAATATGAGGACAGGCATAATGGTGCATGCCTTTAGTCCCAGCACTTTGGAGCCAGAATAGATGATATGCATGAGTTCAAAGCCAGCCTGGTCTACATAGTGAGTTCCAGGCCACCTAGGGCTACATCATGAAACTCGGTCTCATATATATATATATATATATATACAAAAATATTTAAATATTCTCAACAAACATTTAACAGTAGCCCAACTGGTGTGCAAGGAAAAAGCATTCAATTTTAATTTCCCTAACTATATTGAAAGGATCTGACAGTAGCTTTAGGAACATTGCACTCTTCAAGAATAAGGAATGTACCAAGCTGCCAAATTCTTGCTGCTAAGCCTTTCCATAGACTGGGATGGAGGGGAAGATGAGTGAGCACACACAATGATTACCTATTGTACAATAACACTTGCCAGGAGTTCACAGTATGCAAATTTTTCACAGAACTCTTACACAATTGTAAGCATGCCAGGACAACCAAGGAATACTGACTTTCCTAAGATCTAGAAGCTAACCACCGGTGTGAAATGATCCACGGTTCCAGAAACAAGTACAAGGCTTGCAAAGACAGACACCACCTGGAAGTTGTGAATGACCCAAAAGTGCCGATGTGCCACCCAGGAGCCATGTATGAGTGAGAACACCCCAGCATCCCTTCCATTCCCCTCCCTCCATCCTCCATACTCAAATGAAAAAAGTGAATGGTGGGTTTACCCTGCTTTCTGAAATCACGCAGAGCAAACACCACTAATGGAAAATTACAGGTGAAGCCTTGACTTCTCCAGGTTTGTGAATGAGCAAAGTTATTTCTCTTAACTACATTGCTGGGATTTTTCCACTCTCATTTCAATTCTGAATACGGTGTTTATAACTTCTCTCAGCCTCCCATGCCCCCCTTCACATCTTTCCAAGTCACCTTGAGACAGCTCAAAGTTTCAGCCCATAAAGGCACCAAAAGCTAATTTCTGAGACATCCTTGCCATCTAGAAAGCAATGTTACTCACATCTCATGTCCTTTTGCTGAAAAGTAGAAATTTAACATTTAACATTTATTATTTTTACTTTTTCCTGATAAATACATGCTGTTTTTTATTGCCTCTCTCTCTCTCTCTCTCTCTCTCTCTCTCTCTCTCTCTCTCTCTCTCTCTCTCTCTCTCTCTCTCTGTTTGTGTGTGTGAGTGTGTGTGTGCACAAAACTGAAAGTCAATGTCAGGGTTTTTTTCCTCAATTTCTTCTTGGCCTTTTTTTTTTTTAATATACAGTATCTCCCACTGAAGCTAGAGCCTACCACTTTGGCTAGGCTGGCTGGCCACTTGGCCAGCAAGGTGCGTGGATCCTTCTGTCCACAGCCTTGTCTGTCCTGGGGTTGCAGTGGCTTTTTCCATGGGTGTTAGTTATCCAAACTCCGATTCTCAAGCTAGTGAGACCTAGTGAGCCATATCCCCAGCCCTACATGGGTTTCTTTAAAGAAAATAAAATTACATGTATGTACTATTTCTCTGACATTCTTGGTAGTACTGCTTTTCTCAGAAAATCTTTAAGCAGAATTTGAATTCTTAAATATATTGAGGGGCTGGGGTGTGATTAAGGAGTAGAACTCTTGCCAAACGTACCCAAGGCCCTGAATTAAATTCCTAGCTATTGGATACACCAGCATGTGACACCAATAACTCCAAAATGACTTCAATACTGTTGTAGGAAACAATTTCATAACAAGTTATTGTGATTCTCACGTTTGGAAGGACTCTTTTGACCCATCCTAGAAGACATCTCAAGAGTGGAGGGTTGTAACTCAGCGCTAGAGCACAGGTGAGGAGTTCAATCACTAGCACAGGTATGCGCACCCCCCCCCCCGCCCCCAACTTGTCAACCCCAGAATAAAATAAGCCTTGTCCGAAGGCAACGATGTAGGGACTATCTCTCCTTCACAGGAATAAAAGGAACAGAAGACCTTGTCTGTGAGGCACGGCTGGAATAACAAGCCGTCTGTAAATGAGCCTAGGGTATTTTAGTTTTTCCACTCCAGAGAGGATGAAGGGTAGAGGGAAGGGTGGCATCTCCCACCTCCCTAAACTCACACAGACTACACTGGCTATCCAGGTGCCCTTCAGGCATCAGCATCCCAAAGAAATGCACTCCAGGACCCCAGCCTAGCTCTGTGTCCAGCTTTTTGGGAAGTGCCCTCACAGAGTCATCTGAGGAAGCTGGACCTGGACTGGTCCTCTGGGATGCGCGGTACCAAAACCTAGTGGGCAAGCACTAGGAGATCTGCAAGAAAGTCCAAGAAAGGCTGGGCATCAGGGGATTGGAAATGGAAATTTTGCACGGTCCCCCAAACTGCCTCTCCCCTTTACTCAGGCTAGGTCACCGGACATAAACTCAGATTGCCTGGGAACGCGGTCTACTAAAACCCCAGCCCAGCCCGGAAAGCGCTAATTCGTCTGCAAAGAGCTGTAAAAGACACTCACCTCCACCCATCTCTGAGCCTCTGCGAATGCAACGGAGCAATCGGCCTCGGCGTCCTCCATCCCTTCCATGACTAGGGCGAGAGAGGGAGAAAGCAGCTAAGTGGGTGCTCGCCGGGACCCAGACTCCCACGCGTCCCCCTCCCTTTGTTGCGACGTGCAGTTTTAAGTTCAGGAACCTAGCAGAACTTGCAGGCGTTGCTTTCTCGAAACTCCTGAAATCGGCTCAAATCCAGCGGGACTGGAGCAGAAGAGGGAGGTGAAGAAGCTGACTCGAAGCGGTGCGCAGCGGGAGCCGGGACTCCTGGGAACTTCAAAAGTCGCAAGCTCTGTCGCCGCCCTCAGCCATGGCCCCGCCCCAGCCCACCCCCTACGGGCCGGTACCAGCTTCCGTCGGTGCTCCTCGCCGGGGTCCTTGCTGCCAGCTCTCTGGTCAGACTATCTGGGCGGGGAGATGCCACAGCCGGTGGGGCGGGAAGAGATGCGCCCCAGCCCGCATCCTTCCCGCCTCCGCCAGCCTTCCCTGTCCCAGGCCCTCGGGAGGCGGTGCCCCTACAGCCTGCGGCCTGACATACCAGGAATAGCTGCACACAATTGCACCTTTCCGGGCCAAGAAACTTCCCCCGCGGGAACGCGGGGACGCCTGGCCTCGCTGCCACTGTCCTCCGGCTCCACGGAGCCCACTGACCGGTCCCAGATGCTTCGCAGTGCCCGCGACCTCCCGGGCTTCCGGCCGCAGGTGAGGGTAACGGCTTGGGCACTTGCGGCCGGTCGGTCCCCTAGCCTGGGCGGAGCGGATGGCAGGTGGGTCCGGAGGAAGAGACCTGCCGCTTCATTCCCCCTCTCCCGCCACAAGAGGTTCGGTAAACAGAAAGAACTTGGCTTTTCACCCGCCTCGACACCACCCCTGCCACCCCGCTTGGCTCAGTTCTGGACCTTGGACCGCCTTTACCCGGAGTTCAGTCCAAACTCTGACCCTCCCTGGAGTGTCACGGTGACAGCTTATTCAGTTTGAGCAGAGGGCCTGAGTAGGTGCGCTAGGCCAGACTCACAGGTGGTCCAAAGCCTGTGGGCCCTGGGGCTTCCCTCCAGGCTCCAGGAGCCCCAGCCAGGCCACCTAGGACTTCACCTTAGGGAAAAGATGAGATTGGCCCTTCTTTTCTTGAAGAGAAGCAACCTTTCATTCTTATTTTCCCAAGGGGCTGATGATTTTAGGGCAATTAAAAAAAGCTAAACATGTGGCAGAGAAACTAGTCTAAGGAAACAGTCTAGCTTCTGTGCCTAATGATCGTTAGCACCTGGCCTTATCTCGCTTCATTTTCTCTACTACAGAGAGTCTTAAAGTCAGATACATTTCACCCCTAAATATTCCACTAAACATCTCGTCTTTACAGAACATTCCCCTGCATTGTCAAAATATCACTTCACATATAACTAAATAAAGCCAATAAAATTGCTATTTCATAACCAGCCCAGGCTCGGATTTCCCTATCTGATCCCAAAACAACTTCTGCAGCTGACTTACCTAGACCAAGAGGCAATCAGGGAAATTGCATTCCATTTGATTGCAGAATTTTTACCCTAGAAGGGCCTCCTTCTCCCCCCTTCTTCCTTTGTTGGAATGGCATTGTGTGTTGAAAAAAGCAGGCTGCCTTCTGGATTTGTCTTATGGCTTTTTTGTGGTGTCCTCAACATATTTCTTTCTCAGTATTTCCTGCCTCCTGGAAGTTAGATCTAAAGGCTGGATGGGAACCCATTTGCTCTTATGAATGAAGACCATCTGGATTGGGGTGACTGACAGTTTCTGTTTATTCCGCAGGTTTATTTTGGTTCAATCCTTTTTTTTTTTTTTTTTTTTTTTATTGGCACTCGCTGTAATCAGTGGGTCTGTTCAGAAGAGCCGGCTGACAAGCTTAAGGGATACAATTGTTCCTGCTGTGGTGGGAGACCACTGACTAGACCATCTCCATGTGCCGCCTACACTCTTGTTAGACCAAACCCAAGAAGAGGATGGAATGATTTAAGAAAACAGGAAGATATTTCTCTGCTTCTCTCTATCCCAGAAGTACTCTGTATTTATTAAACATGAAGCAAATACTTCATGTGATGCTTAACGGGATGCTATCTGGGATTGTTGTTTTGAGACAAGCCCTCACTATGTAGCCTAGAACAGTCTCAAATTCATGGCAATCCTCCTGCCTTAGCCACTTTAGTGCTGAAATTACAGGTGTGTGCTACCACACTGAGAAAAACACTAACTATAATACTTAAATACTTAGAGACACCAGAGCGTCTACATTAGCAGCGCAGTGGACAGAGGGCTCTTAGAGTTACTATATAAGCACATCCTATCAGAAGCCTCTGCCATGGTGTTGGTTTGAATGAGCAATGCACCCCATAAAGTCAGGTATTTGAGCACTCGGTCCCCAGCTGTCTGGCGAGATTGCAGAACCTTTAGGAGGCACAGCCTTGCTGGAGAAGTGTGTCCCTACGAGCTGGCTTTGAGTGTTTACAGCTTCACCTCACTCCAGCTCACTCCCGAGCTGTTCTGGGTGTGGTTGGAGATGTGCTCTCTCAGCTACCTGCTCCAGATACCCATTGCCATTGCCCCCCAGCCTCCCCATTGTGGACTCCAATGCCCTGGAACTGTAAGGCAAAATAAACTTCCATCATTATTTTAGTCATGGTGTTTTCTCACAGCAGAAAGAAGAAAAATTGGCCTGACATTGTTCCTCGGAGACAGCTGCCCAGGATGTGACATGACAAGCCTGGGAACCTGAGCAACGTATGTTACCAGTTACCAAAGTTTTTTTTCCCCATCCAAAAAGTGCAGGACAGTAACATCTCGAAAGAACTGTTTTATAATAATTAAATATGATGGTGAATGTAAAAGCTCAAGAGTATACTTACCACGGAGGAGGCACTCTGTGAATTACGGTTGCTTCCCTTTGGGCGCTCTCCCTCCCTGTGTGGGTGTTCGTCTTTCATGTATAGAATTTTCCTACTGAATGGAGATGGCCACTTATTTCTTCAAATGTACATATGGTGGGGCTGTAAAATGTTGAAAACTCCGATTAAAGCCACCAGCCATGGCTCAGCCTCTTTAAGGTTGCAGGTTCACAACTCAGAACACACAAGCATAATTCTTTGCTTCATTATTTCAGACATTAAACTATATTGTCTTTATGGAAGATGCATACAGATTTATGGAGAAAGATACTAACCTTAGGAGTTTCAGATGAAATTCACGGCAATGAAATATCTGCAGCCAGTGTGGTGGCTCAGCAGATACAGATGCTTGTCGCCAAGCCTGACCGCCTGAGTCCGATCCTGGAGCCCACACGGTGCAAGGAGAAAACAGATTCCCGTAAGTGGTCCTCTGACCTTCACACCTGTGCTGTCCAACAAGTACACACATATACACACATACACAAATAGACGTAATAAAAAATTTAAGCATGCTGCATGCATATAGCACACACACATAAACTTAGTCACACACACACACAAAATAAATGTTTAAATATTTTTTTTTAATTAGGCATCAAAAACATCTATTGTCTAAGAGAAGTTAGGATACTTTTCAATATTTAGAAAACATAGAAAAGGTCATATATCCCATGCCTGTAGTCCTGGCACTCAGGAGGCTGTTGTAGGGGGGTAGGCAGTTCACAGCCAACCTGGGCTACAGAGTAAGTTCCTGTCTTGGGGAAAGAAAAATTAAATAAGAAACCAAGCAATAAAGTTATCATGTTTTCTATGCATTGGCAATGAAACAGTGTTCATTGGTGGGGAAGGGGCCATTGTTGTGGGATATTTGTACACTGTGTGAAGATATATTGTTGTGATTGGTTTAAAAAAAAAAAGAGTTGAATGGCCGGTAGCTGGGCAGGAGGTATAGGCAGGACTTCCGGGCAGAGAGAGAGGAGGGAAGAGATGAATCTAGACTCTTGAAGGATGCCATGGAGACGCAGAACAGTTGTACACACAGAATGAGAGAGAGATAAAAGCTATGTGGTAGAACATAGATTAATATATATATGTATATATATATATACATATATATATGGGTTAATTAAAGTTATAAGAGCTAGTGGGACAAGCCTAAGCTAAGGCCCAGCTTTCATAATTAATAAGCCTTCATATTGTTATTTGGGGGCTGGTGGCCAAAAGAAAAATCCAACTACAGGCCACAATCTTTCTGGAAACTCATTTGACGATAAATATCAAATGTTAAATGCCCATGTTAAAATGCCCATGGTCTATTCCAGCAATTCTTTTTTTTTTTTTTTTTTTTTGGTTTTTTTTTTTTTTTTTTTTTCGAGACAGGGTTTCTCTGTGTAGCTTTGCGCCTTTCCTGGAACTCGCTTTGGAGACCAGGCTGGCCTCGAACTCACAGAGATCCGCCTGGCTCTGCCTCCCGAGTGCTGGGATTAAAGGCGTGCGCCACCACCGCCCGGCTATTCCAGCAATTCTATTCCTGGGAATTTCTCCTAAAGATAGGAGCAAAGATAGAAATAGAGACTGAACGAACATCTGCAGCGGATGCAGACACCCCACCCAAGTCTTCCTTTTTAGGAACACGGGCAGCCAAGCACTGGAGTGAGGTCAGCAGACACTCACAGCTGTCACACCTCCCAGGTTGGCCTCTGCAGCAGAAGGCAGCCTCATCTAAGGCTAAGCCCTCTCAGAGCATCTGCCTTCTATCATGACTAAATGACTTGAGATTGAAAACCTCAGCTGTTCGTTTCTATCTCGTGAGGGACGAGGCTAGCTGGTGTTCTCCTGCGGATGCTGGTGTTGGTTGACACGTCTATTTAGCTTCCCCTATCCACCCTTTCCACACATCCTCACTCTTCCCTTCACAGGTCTGATCCCTATTCCTGTCTTGCACCATAAAAACCACCAGTTGCTCCACCCTCTGGATGATTCAAGCTTCTGAGAGCCTCAGTGTGATTGGTTACAAAATCAGAATCCCAAAGAAATCAAAAGCTCTCACAACAGAGAAGATGGAATGAATAGAAGTTCCTCCCTGGAGTGAGATACCCAGCCATCATTAAAAATGTAAAAGGATAGTCAATGATGCAGAAAGGGACTTAAAATAGACTGTAAAAAATGTCAGATATGGTGGCACGCCCCAGAGAGTCACCCACTTGAGGGAGTAGAGCAGGAGGATTACTGAAGCCCAGAAATTCCAGGCCAGTCTGGACAAAGTAGTAAG